TCTCTCCTCTTTTTTTTTTTTTTTTTTTTTTTTGCCGCCTTCTCGATGGCCAACAAGGCACGGAATCAACCCATCTAGGATATCGGTCCATTTAGATCAAGCACCAGAAACACAGACACGCAGTTGAATGTCTATGTATCCAACAGACGCTTTAAAATCGATCTCTTTACTTCCAGCTTCGAAAGCTCGTCTACCATCCTAGCCGAATATTTTCGACACGTTCAACGTCAAGAACCAGAATGGATTCCTGACGAGTCTGAGGTGGATATGGATAGTGAGTATGAAGACCCCCTTGATGAAATGCATGATTGGACCTTGCATCCATTTCTGCCAATCTTCCACGAAATTGCTCCCCTGAACCCGAGCCAAAAATACACTCTCGAGGATTGTCTGTTTACAGAAGAATTGCACTACACTGTGCAGGTAGTGGAAGACAAATTAGTTCCCGTTTATCTCGGCGACACGAAGAACATGAAACATGATCTCACCGGGGCCTCTTTACCATCTTCTGTCGACTACTCGGCTTTTCCTATCTACCATCCTAGGGAAGTCCAGGTTCCAATTAGTGCAAATTCACTACCAGGAATACCTCGTAAGGTATTTATTCATGGGAAAACACGGTCTAGCTTCTTCAAGATAGTCTATGGCGGTGATATAGCAAGAGAGATTCTCACTTATCAAAGATTCGCATGGCTAAATTCAATCCCCCGATTTTCACATCAAGGGCTGGTCCAGGATGATGATGGGTACGTTATGGGATTAGCTTTATCATACATCGATTGTGATAGAGCTACACTCAATTGCATTGATGGACATGATCCCAATTTTTCCGAGCTCCGACAAAAATGGGTTGATCAAATTTCGCATACTCTTAAACACTTTCATTCACATAATATCATTTGGGGGGATGCGAAGGCAGCTAATGTACTCATTGATATCAATAAGGATGCATGCCTGGTTAATTTTGGAGGAGGCTATACTAAAGGTTGGGTTGAGAAGGGGAAAGTCTAACTCGATCGAGGGAGATCTCCAGTGAATTGAAAATATTAAGCGGTACCTTTTTCAATAAATACTAGATGACTATCATTCTGGGCTTATACTATCTACTGTCAGTTGTTACACCCCCCTGATATGGGCTAAGGTCAACCTTTTTTCCCCGAGCGAAAATAGATGTTGAGTTCCGACCCAGTCGACGTTCCCTAAAAAAAATAACAGAGGAGATTCAAAACCAAGCCATCATCCTCGATGCCATCTCGTCGTGATGAATTTAATTGCCCTCATATTGGGCTGTTTTCTCTCTTCCCACCCCCCACACTCTCCACAATCTGAATGCTACACCGGCTGAGACTATATCCGCTGTCTTCGGCCAGGATGCATCGTGCCTTACTAGGAATGGCCCGGGATTCAGGATCCTACACTCGCAAATCTCTCCAATCCGAGGGAGATGCATCCACACTCGCGTTTGCCCCCCCAGATCCCCGCAAAGGTGGAGTACGGGGAAGTGATGGGATTCCAGATTTGACAGGGTCTTTGCTATAAGAACGGCATATAGCGCTTCTGCTCTTTTCTTTTCTTTCTTCTCTTCGTCTGTGCTATATATTCCCACAGATCCTAGATTTTTTCATATTCAACATGGAGAAGATGGATAGCCAACATCAGCACATTGAAAGTGCAAATGCTAGTCAAGGAACGGAGTCTGGAAAGCAATGCGATTTGTACGTCGAAGACCGAATAGCTCATCTATCTGAGGTACATCGCCATTATATTCTTGCGAAGCATGGAACGCTCGATCTGGAGCCAATTCCTGACATGTCCGATGCCGATCCATACAATTGGCCGCAATGGAGGGTGAGAGACCACAGCTCCTATCATCAATTCACACTTCGACCATGTTTCTAATACGATGCTTTGGTAGAAAACTTTAACTTGACCCTAGTCGCCTTCCACGCCATGATGGGCACATTCACTGCCTCGTCAATCCAGTCTGCATTTGAAAGTATCTCCGAAGATCTCGATGTAAGTATGCAGCAGACCAGCTACCTCGTTTCCCTCGTCATTGTCGTACTGGGTGGTGCGCCTCTTTTCTGGCGCCCGCTGTGTAATCGCTATGGTCGCCGCCCCATCTTTCTCATCTCGCTGATCTGCAGCTTGGTTGGGAATATTGGCTGTGCGAAAAGTCGTTCCTATACAGCCATGGGTCTCTGCCGTGCTATTACTGCATTCTTTATCAGCCCTGCAGCTGCTATTGGTAGCGCCACTGTCGCGGAGACTTTCTTCCGAAAAGATCGTGCGCGCTGCATGGGTGCGTGGACCGTAATGGTTACTCTGGGTGTCCCTGCTGCTCCGTTTCTCTTTGGATTCGTTGCTTTGCGTGTGGGCTATCGCTGGATTTACTATATCCTTGCAATTGTGAGCTTTCCTTGATACCGACATCAAGGAGACAGATCCGTCTAACCATTCGCTTCGAACAGGTTAACGCAATCCAATTCGTCCTCTACTTCTTCTTTGGGTCGGAATCCCTTTACGTCCGCAGAAATGTACCCTCCGACAACGTTATCGCCGCCAAGCAGAGTCTCTTTAAATTCCGCCGCATTGACCCTGCACCGCTGAAACTCTGGGACTTCTTCCAGCCCCTGAGCTACGTGATAAAACCATGTGTGACCATCCCAGCCGTCGCCTACGCAATGATCTTCCTCTGGGGCAGTGTCGCGCTCACAATCGAGATCTCCCAGATCTACCCGGCTAAGTTCAACCTCGACACTCAACAGGTCGGTCTGCAATTCCTCGGTATTATTATCGGGTCTGTCATCGGCGAACAAATTGGCGGGTTTATCTCCGATCGCTGGATGCTTATGCGTCAGAAGCGGACTGGAGAACCATCCCCGCCGGAATACCGCCTTTGGCTGAGTTACATTGGCCACGCTTTGACGATCTGTGGTATTGTGGTTTTTGCTATCGAGATCCGGGATTCTGGCGGTGCATGGAGTATCACGCCCGTTATTGGCGCCGCTATTGCCGCTGGTGGTAATCAAATCGTTACCACTGTTGACATTACTTATGCGGTTGACTGTTACTGTGAAGATGCTGCCAGTGTCGGTGTGTTTATTACCTTCGTTCGGCAGCTTTGGGGTTTCACTGGTCCTTTCTGGTTCCCTGCGATGTTTGAGGTTGTTGGCTGGGCTGGTGGTGCTGGTATTGCCATTGCTCTCATGGTTGGTGTCGGTGTTATTCCGACTATTTTGGTGCAGTGGCGAGGAGCTGGCTGGCGTTGATTGGTCTGGCCGAGCACATTTGCTCTTTTTATCAACTAAACAAGAGAATATACATGTTCACATTCTAGTAGACGGTGCTTCCTACGTCTCAATCTACTACATAATAAATATTCGAATATTACTGAATCAACTTGATGCAACTGTGGAATATAATATTGATACACTCCTTCTGCTTAAATCGAGTATGCTATATGTATATAGAATCTTAGTTCCCTTACTCCTATCGGTAGGAAGCCCTCCTATACCCACAAATAGCGCGGCAATTACTGCAATTTTCTATGTAATATTTCCCACTTGCTGTTCGGGGTTAAGTCGGGGATAGTTTGTAAGTTCAATATGTGTGTATTATCCAAACTAATCGACAAACAGTTCGAAGCTGCTAAAACGAAGCCAGTATACGTAAAACAAATCGTAACTCATCAACCCCATATCAAAATCTACCACCCATCAACCCTCCGCATCCTCAAGTGCATCCCCTCAACCGGCTTAATAGTAACAGCTCCAGCGACATGGATCACCTGCTTCGGATCCTGCATTTCAAATAAAAACCGACCAACGACACCAGCAACAGCACACCGCAACTCTGCACGCGCAAAGTCCTTTCCAATACAAGATCTCTGCCCATGGAGGAACGTAATCTGTGCGAAATTCGTCGACGCCCCGCCATTATTGTTCGGGATACAGTGTCCATTCTTGTCGGTGTCGATCCAGCGCTCAGGCACGAATTCCTCCCCATTCTCGCCCCAGAAGAGCGGGCTTCGGTTGATCGCCCACGGGCATAATATCACCCGTGTACCCTTCGGGATGTACTTTCCTGCTACGACCGTATTGCGAACTGCTTCGCGGATGGTCGTTGGGACCGTTGGGTATAGACGGAGGACTTCTTGACAGACGCCGTTTAGTAAGGGGAGAGATTCGACGTCTTGGTAGGTTATCGGGCTATTGCCTGATGGGATCTTAGCGCGGATTTCATCGCGAAGGCGGGTTTGGTATTCTGGGTGCAGGTGGAGAAGATAGCAGGCCCAGGTCAAGGCGCTGGCGGTGGTTTCGTGCTGTGCGGAGTTAGCTAGTCACTCATCTAAGCAGATAGACAGGTTCATTATAGCAGTGCATTTGCATGGGAATACTCACCCCAGCAGCCAAAAATGTCAACATCTGGTCAACCAACTCCATATCCGAGAAATCCCCACCGAGCATCATCGTCCCGAGAATATCAGCCTCGAGATTCTGAGCAGAAACCTTCGACCCTACAAGACTGGCTCGCTTCTCGCGCACAATCTCATCGCACGTACTGCGCAGATACGCCATCTCCGCATTCAGTATGTCGTTCTGCCGCCAGGGCACACGCCTCGCCATCCACTGCGGCAGTGCGAAGTTCATCATCAGGAACGCCATCTTCTCCTTGGTCGGCTCGAGGATCTTCGCGAAGCTGTCTGCCACCTTGTTTCGCTTATTGTGCAGCGAGCCAAAGTCACGTCCCATTGCTATGGGTCCGATTATGTCGAGTGTGAGGCGGCTGCATGGTTGTCAGTATAATATAAACAATCTGGGGATGACATGATGCTTATAATACGTACCTCGCCCACTCGGACATCTCAATCTTACCCTCCTGGTCCACTGGACCCGTTCCATCCATCGGGTGGACCTTGATTTCTTTCTCGAGTTCATCCAATAACTGTCCCGTCTTGCTCCACATGAGAGAGTACATCGAGCGGATATTCTTGATATTGAAAGCAGGCGTGAGTGCTTTGCGCTGCTTCTTGTGTGCGGCGCCTTCAGAGGTAATCATCCCAAAGCCGATGATCCGTGCGAGGAAGTTGCGCATCCGCCAAGGCTTCTCGAAGTCGTATGTGTTCGTGCTCATCACGTCTAGCAGGGCTTGGTGGTTTGTCGGGATCACGTAGCTTTGATTGAACGTGTCGCGCATGTGGATGAGTCCTTCATTTGGGACGGTTTTCATCCACTGGAGGGGTTTGGTTCCCCGTGGCGAGTCAAAGACGAGTTCTACATGCGAGCCCTACACGAGGTTAGGAGGTCGTGCATACTTCCGTTTTGCGCTGTTTCCTACCTTGACTTTCGGTAGATGTCGCGTTGGGCTTAGTAGAAATGGCCATATTATGATGTTGTAGAAGGCCTTTAGGATGATATTTACTCCCAATGCGCCGAGAGAGATTCTTTGAAAGGTCTTGTCTGTCAAGATAGTGCGTTGGAGGAAATACGCCTCGGCAAGGGTGAATGCACCCACTGCCAGTATACTGTCACCAAAGGCCATGTTCCTTTGAATCGAGTCGAAAGACAAAAGCCTCGGATTCAGGAGTTGAACCTCATTATCATCTCATTTTTTCCTACCGGATATGCCCCAATAGGCCCCACAGGGATCGGCACTCCTATTGGGGTGACCTATGCGAGACCTCGGCCCTATGAATTGCCATTATTTGGATCTGCATGTGAGTGTTCCATGCCATAAAGAGGGGTGTAGAGTTCTAATTAGAGATATCGCACTGTGTTGGCTTGTCATGTTCCAGGATTCCCGTGGAGGTTTAGGCCAGTAGTTCATATATTGGACTAGTTAGGGCTGGGGTAAGGTGATGACCTCCACAATGCGGGGATGCCAAGAGACATGTGAAAAGACATGCGAGACATGAAAGACAATGGAAGACATTCAAAGAAAAATCAACTGTCTAAATGAAGATGTCATAACTGTCGATCTCTCGTCGATCCCTGTGGGGAATATTCTCTCGCATTGATTTCCTTGTTAGTGCGAAAGCTCTAAAATGTGAAGCCTCGGTTGGATATACGCCCTAAATATCTAGTCTTTAATGACTTTTAGCATACTTATTATCCTTAATATAACCCGATCACTCTTTACCCTCCGACAAACCTCACCTCACTTCATCCATACCCCCTCAAACAGCAACAATGTCTACTCTCAACCTCCTCACTCAATACGCCCAAACCGCTCTATCCCACCTCCCAGAGCCCGCCCAAGATATCCTCCACAACCCAACGACCCAAAAGGCCCTCGCCATCCTCGCGGCCCTCACCCTCCTCCGCGCCACGAACCGCTTCCTTTCAAAACGCACCCTGCAAAACTGGAGCTTCAATCAACCATGGATCCCAGCCCGCGAGCTCATCTTGCTAACGGGCGGATGCAGCGGAATCGGCAAGCAGGTCATGGAAGACCTAGCTCGCACAGGAGTGCGCGTCATCATTCTCGATATTAATGAGCCGACTTTCACACTACCCCCCAACGTTACCTTCTACAAGGCGAATATCACTTCCTCGGCTGATATCGCCAATGTCGCGAACACAATCCGTGAAAAGCACGGCGAGCCTACCGTCTTGATCAATAACGCTGGCGTTGGACACGACGGGACCATTCTCGATGAGACCGAGGAGAAGATTCGTCAGACTTTCGAGGTTAATACCCTCTCCCATTTCCTTATGGTCAAGGAGTTCTTGCCGGCTATGGTGAAGGCGAATCATGGTCATGTTGTCACTATTGCTAGTATGGCGAGCTTTGTGGCTCTCGGTGAGATGGTGGATTATTGTTGCTCCAAGGCTAGTGCGCTTGCTTTCCACGAGGGACTGCGTCAGGAATTGAAATATTGGTATAACGCACCCAATGTGCGCACTAGGTGGGTTACTCTCAGACTGCGTGTCCATGTGGGCTTTTGCTGATTCTTGCTCTTAGTATTATTCACCCCTTTTGGGTGCGTACGCCCATGATCAAGATGCTCACAGATCACGAGGCCCATTTCAAGCAGCCTATCATGACCCCCCAGGTAGTGTCTGACGCGATCTGTAAGCAGATCTTGACTCAGACTAGTGGTCAGGTTATTCTGCCTGCCAGCCAGTCGGCGGCTAGGTTGGTGCGTGCTATGCCGACCTGGATGCAGGAGGGTGTGCGCACTTTTGCGTCGGGTGCGTTGAGAAAGATGCGTATTGCGCAGCAGGCGGAGAAGGAGGCTCAGGCGTAGTAGATTTGTTTTGGAAAGGATTGGAAATGTGATTATGCTGTATTCATTTTGGATTTGGTGTACGATGAATGTACATACTACTGAGTGCTAAAGAAATATCACAGGCTGGTCCATGGAGTTATAATGTTTTCCCAGAGGAATAGCTTGGTAGATGATCTGGTTTCACTTTGGGTAATAGTATAGTTTCTATAATATTGAAATTCTGTGATATTGATGGCTTCCAGCTTGGATATCGGTCTTATTCTACCTATGTCTTCAGTATGTACTCAATCCATGTATCTACAGTATTTCTACATACAATCACACCATCAACTCGGCCAAAACGGCCTCAACCTTCTTCCCCTGCTCTGTCTTCGTAGCATTCCCCAACTCCAAATGATAAATTGGCGCAACATGACACTCACGATGCCCAACAAACAACTCCACGTTCTCAAAGCCCTCCTTGAATTTCGCCGCAAAGTCCTGAATCAGAGGCAACATGATCTCATTCCCGCCCGCAGTAATCAAGACTGAGTTCACTGGGAACATTGTAAACCAATCCGCCGGCGCAGTTGATAAATCAGTGTAATAGTCCCGCTTGCCCGCACCAATATAGGCTGCCGACCACGGTCCCGCAACTGCTGTCGTGATTATATCGCCACCGTGGTAGACCTCCATGCCCGGGAATTCTTTCTCAAGAAGTGTCCATGGTGCGATCATCACTGCTCCACCGAGGTTTCTGTGCAGCGGCAGGGAATTGATCTCTGCGTGTGGGTGGGCCAGGTGAGAGAGTACTCCACCAACCAGGTTGCCGCCTGCAGAGTCGCCACCCAGGAAAACCGTGGACGGGTTGCGGTTTGGCTGCGATAGGATGTATCGTAGACAATTCACAGCCTGTCGCAGCTGAGTTGGGTAGACTGCAATTGGCGCCAGCGTGTAGGTCAGACTGAAGACTGCGACGCTTTTGCCTGATGCTTTGAGGTCGCGCAGGAGCTGAGCGTAGAATTTGAAATAGCCCATGTTAGCGGGTAGTCCGAAGCCACCTCCTGAATGATGGTTAGTGGTTATTAAATTTGGGGGGGGCGTCTTTCTTTGTTGTATACATACCATGGAACCAGACTATCACGTTTTCGGCATTTCTATCACCCACCCAGTGACCCAATGCTCCATCGCCCAATTCCACGGACTCGGGTAATCTGCCGGTCTTCTTGGAGTGTTGCTCATAGATCTTGTGGGATGGCGGTAGGATGTACTGCATCTGAGTCGTGGTCAACCGCGCGGTCGCCTTCCGGAACACCGCATATCCCAAATGAAGGGACAAAGACTTGGCTTGGCTCTCGGTGCGTCGAAGGCCAGTGAGGAGAGCATAGAGGTAGGCGATCACGATGGAGGCCACAGCTGGGAAGAAGTCCAGTTTCTCCTTTAAGGAGAGCTTGACTTTGGTTACTTTGGTGATAGACATGATTGGACTTTCACTGTGATTCCAGGTGAGGCCATGATAAGTATATTTCAGCCTGTCGAAGTGTGAAAGTCAATGTCGATCCTTCGCATGGCTATCCCGATTAGGAAGGTGCCGAGGCTGGGGAAACTCCTCGGCCATGTCTTTGACATCGTAAGTAGTGGTCTCTGTAATTTCTACATTTTATATGTCTCTATGTCTCTGGATTTGGGGATATAGGACTGTATATCTATATCTATGCATATGTAGCTCTATAGATCTTATATCCAAAAACCGGATTGGTCGGAGAACGATCTGTGTAACTTCCAAGGTCACTTTTGTATACTAACTTGTACAATAAATACATCTTACGATATATATACTAGTACCATCTGCATTTCTCGCATCTCCCCGATCTCCCCGTGCAGATTTTAAGGTTCTAACGTGCTGTTTACCCCAAATCGATGTCGATCTGCCCATCAAAGGAGTTGTGAAACCGAGGCATGTGAACTTTCTTTTTTAAATAAACCTCAATGATGTTCACTGTTCACTGTGAATTGGTAATTGTTCAGCATTCATATCCACCATGAGCGGAATCAAAACAAACGAAAAACACTTCGATGTCATCATCGTCGGCGCTGGTATCTCCGGTATCAATGCCGCCTACCGCGTCCAAGACCAACTCCCCGGCTACAGCTATACCATCCTGGAAGCTCGCACCGATCTAGGTGGCACCTGGGATCTCTTCAAGTATCCTGGAATCCGTTCCGACTCCGACCTTTTCACCTTTGGCTTCCAATTCAACCCCTGGTCCCGCAATAACCCCATCGCCGAGGGCTCTGCCATCAAGGAGTACGTGCGCGACACAGCGACCAAGTACGGCATCGACAAACACATTCGCTACAACCATCGCCTGTCTTCAGCGGACTGGTCCTCCGATGAAAATACTTGGTCGCTCGCCGTCGACCACAATGACGCCCAACAGACCTACACCGCCCGCTACGTGATCTTCGGCACGGGCTACTACAACTACAAGGATCCCCTGAAAGCCGACATTCCCGGCCTGGACGCTTTCCAGGGACAGATCATCCACCCGCAGTTCTGGCCCGAGAACCTCCAGTACAAGGACAAGAAGATCGTTATCATCGGATCCGGCGCGACCGCCATCACTCTCCTCCCCAATCTCGCCGACCATGCCGCCCGTGTCACAATGCTCCAACGGAGCCCGACCTATATCCTCTCCGTCCCGAACCGCTCAGCCAGCCGCTGGCTCTCCTACCTCCTCCCCAATTCCCTGTATTGCAGGCTGCAGCGCATGATCTGGATCTACACCAACCGCATCTTCTTCCTCTTCTGCCAGCGATTCCCGAATTTCTCCCGTTGGCTGCTCAGGTTGAATGTGCGCAGGCAATTGCCCAACCATATCCCCTATGACCCACACTTCAAGCCCAAGTACAACCCCTGGGACCAGCGGTTGTGTGTTTGTCCCGATGGGGATCTGTTCCGCAGTCTCCGGCAGGGCAAGGCGGATGTCAAGACTGATACGATTCGCGAGGTTACGAAGAATGGTATTATCTTGAACTCTGGCGAGGAGCTCGAGGCAGATGTTATTATTACTGCTACTGGGTTGCGCTTGCAGATTGCAGGTGGCTCCGCGCTGTCTGTGGACGGCACCAAGCTTGACATTGGTTCTAAGTATCTGTGGAATGGAGTCATGCTCCAGGATCTGCCCAATGCCTCTTTCGTTATCGGGTATACTAATGCGTCGTGGACTCTCGGTTCGGATGCGACGGCGCAGTTTATCTGTCGTTTGCTCAAGAAGCTTGAGTCGCAAAAGTTGGTCGCTGCTACTCCCCGCCTGAAGGAGAGGGATGCTGCTTCGCTCCAGGATCGTCCTCTCTTGAACCTCAAGTCGACTTATGTGTCGGTTGCTCAGCGCGCGTTGCCCAAGGCTGCTGATCGTGGTCCGTGGCAGCCGCGTGATCACTACTTGAAGGACTTGAAGTTTGCTCAGGGTGGTGATATTGACACCGGACTGGAGTTCGTGCAAGGGCCGAATCTGCGTCTGCGCCCCAACATGTCCTGATTGATGCATGTTTATGATATGATACCGCCCCAGCCATGATTTAGGGGTCGACCGATTCAATGTAAATATGACGTTTGAGGATCAGTAACAATATATTCATTCCTATTCTTCAACTGTGCAATCTCCAGTCTTCGTTGAACGCTATACAGGCTGCCAGCGAGATGAACAACATCAAGACTATCCCCCACGGCATCGTCATTATCGTAATGCCTATGCATCTATTGGAGTTGCGCACACGCTCATATTCCCAAAATACCATCCATGTTCAGGATTCGGCCACCTCAAATCCCCATCCGAACCAGCATTCCCCGCCTTACTATTGATCCCTTCAACATACTGCACCCCATTAGTAGTGACCTGAACTCCAGTCTCCTGAGTAATCCAGTATTCAGGCGAAGGCTGACTCCAATCGAAGAACGGCAGGTTGAGCGGTACCTTCGGAACAGGGTCTGTAGTATGCGTGACTCGGTAGATGCTGTTTGGCGCTTGTTGGTTGGTGATGAACTCGGCCAGTTTCAAGTTTCCTGGTTTCGGGCCTCCAAATGTCCACTGGTGAGTTTTGTACGTTAGCCGGCATCTACACCAGTTTCTTGTTTTTCAACTTGACTTACAACATCCAGACTGAACCCCTGTGTTCGAAGAACAGTCCCTGCTAGCGCGGCAATAACCCCACCTAGACTATGTCCTACAATGCTCAGCCTATATCCCGGATATGTGCTGGTTGCATCGTGGAGCTGGGATGTCGCCTGGCTTGCTACAGCGCTCCAGTAAACCCAGAACCCATGATGGGCTCTGCATCCGGTGCACACATCGTCAATCGGGGTGAGGGCGATATCGAGATCTGCGTCGCCGTCGCTTTTGGATACCGTTCCGCGGAATGCAAGTACGACCAGTTCCCGGGTGTGGTCCAGGGCGATGTAGCCTGTCGGGCCGTTGTCGCTGTGGAATGCATTAATTACTGTCGTATTGTCGGCTGCTACGAGTGGGCAGGTGCCGTAATCACAAGTCAGACTTTGGCCCGTGTGGTTGATGTTTTGGTCGCAGGCCGATAGGGTTGCGAACTGGGAGAACAGAGTGAATCGTTCCAATAGCTCACTTGAGATTGCTGGTACATTTTTAACCGTTAGATTCGATCTTGTGATATGTTCTATGTCAACTCACCTCGGCGGGTTAATCGGCCAGAAGATGCAATTACTATCATGTTTAGTGATAGCACTGCAAGCATACGACATATCATCGACCCAACCATATTGGATAAGGCGAATGGTCTATAGTGTTGAATGGTATCCTGTAAGTATAGCAAAGCCTAGCTCATATTTATAGGCTTGCTTTCCCGCCGTCAATGACAACCCACCTATGGAATGTTGTCCAAGAGAGGAGGGGTAATAGCTGCAGGGCTTAATCCCACGATACACCGTGATGACTGTATAACAGCCAGCTGAGTATATCGGCAGCGCTAACTTTGCATCCGGAGGATAACTCGAGTTTAGGTCTGCCGGGACAAACCAATTAGGGCTATTGAAACCACAATTCTATAACACCATATCTTCCACCTATGGCCCTCTCGACCGAAACATCCGACGACGCCATTAGAAGCGGGAAAAGTTTCATTGCATCCTCATATAAATACCGGATAATGTCCAACCCTAAGAATCCTTTTCCTTTCCGTTCTACTACTTACCTGTTGCCAGCTTCCAATCGCTGATCATCGCATCTTCCTGGTAAGATGTATGATTCCAATATTGGTAGCTAATGTTTTCAGTTTGTATGTTGCATATTCTTACCACAAATAGCACGACTCTCACAGGTTCAAAGTGGATTTCTCAAGGCTGAACCCTTGGGAAGGCAGGGATTATTCTCCGATGGCTTAAGATTTACATGAAATACTCTCATAGAGATCATCGTATGGTAAAGATCGTGTCTCGCCGTGATGCGGCCCGCAGATTGTACGCTAACGCATCTTCGGTGAATATTTCAACTGAATATTCAAACATATTCACCAGGTGGAGTCATGCATGATACAATTTTGATACACCCCGACGGTCTCCGGCATGGTAAAGACAAATCCCTTCCTGTGTGTAGCTCACTAGAGCGTATAAGATAAGAAATTGTCTCTTCGAGGTCTTCAATTAATGTGTAGTTAAGATTTGCATACCCTGGCCGAGCCGAGCCATCAGGTCAGCCTTTTTATCCAACAACATAGCAGTGAACCCTCAGTCTGGCTAGTTGATGCAAGTTTATGCCGGTTCCACGGACCTCTCTCGCTTGTCGTCTTCTCTAAGTCGCCCATACGCCTGCCGAAAATGCGTCGACTGGATATTGGGACACCAAGAAGGGGAAGAAGCCTGCAAGCCGGACCGGACTTTTTCGCCCATATATGCTGGCAATGTTGTTCCGTAAAATCTGCCCCGAGAAGGAAAATACAAGGTGAAGTAGAAGGACCGTTTAAGCTCATGATGCCTACTTTGTACCCTGATCAGGACCCCTTGCATTTTAATGTCATACAGCCTTGATCTGGCTGAACATGTTAGCGTTGTAGTACACAGGGTGTCTCACTACTATGATGTAGATCGCTTGGCACAAATCTCGCCAATCCATCTATGGAACATGCAGCCTCGTCTTGGCTTTGTATGACGAAGCAATACCGCTTAAATATGCGTGACGCGATCACTGGTTTTGAACCATTTGTGCATAATATCACCTCCATGCATGCGTATAGCATCCTACAACCCGGCGATCCTTCCCGTATATTTGTTATATCTATTGGTAAGTACACATTCTCGGCCGCTAAATCGGCCAGAATCCTTCAAGTTAGAACAGTGGAGTGTCATTTTCTTATTTATTTAAGTACATTGGGTTTCAGATTCACGAATCCATACCATTCCAATTCCCACTGATGCCCAGCAACGACTTGGCTCAGGGGGTAGTCCGCCATTCTGCTTGCGAACCTGCTTCGCCGAAGGCTTTGAAAAGAGTGAGTTGGCCGGGAGTGGGCGGAACTGGGACTGACAGAAGTTGCATGGCGCCGCCGGGTCCTCTGGCCAGAACCTGATCATAACGTTACCATAGGGCAGGTCCATCTTCGTGAAGCCCGGGGGCGTCTCAAACACCACGGGCTTCCTCAGCCCAATCGTGTTACCGAATCTCTGCTCCTTGATAACGATCTTCCCGGCACAAGATTCGTAATCTTGTGCGCGAGTTCCTTGTTCGGTATGGCCTCCGTCTTCTCCGTAACGAATCGGGTCGGGCCGCCCTTGTAGTAAGGTTCGACCTTACACCGCAGGGGTCTTCCGTCTCCGTCAGGGATCACTACCTCTGTTCCAGCTATCCGATGCGCCGATTCGAGGGAGTGCAACTGAACCAACCAAATATCCCTCCTGCACTCCAAGCGGAGCGGGCCCATTGGGTCGGCGGGGACCAAGTTCATCAAGTTCATCAAAGCCGCTTGGGCTGGCTTGGACTGCCTTCGTGATTGTCAGGAACGAGTCACTTCCGGGCTTGGGTGGCATCTCGAGGACGATACACCGTCAGGCTGCGTACTGAGAGGGGATTTCGTGACTCCCCCGCGCCACCGCCCCCACGCCTTCTCTGCTTGCTTGGCCCGCTTCGTCTTGTGAACTTTTGCCGTGGCTGTCGATCTGGATCTTTCTCATCTCTATCCCGGATCACAATTTCCGTTCCAGCCATTCAGTGCAGTACTTCTAGAACTGTTCCCATCTGGACGAGATGGTAAAGCACCAAGACGTGAAGGATGGCCTGAGACGGCACGGTAATAGGAGTAGTGTCATGATGAGGTGAAAGTAAGGGAGATCTGAGAGAATTCTGAGAATCTTATAGAAATCTGAGAGAAATGTGAGAATGACTTCAAGAGCAGCTCCTCTTCTGCAAGGCCGTGGCCAGTAGCATTAAAAGCTGTATAAGAAACTGAGAGCCGGCTTTTCGTGCGGCATCTAGCAGGCTTTGATCGACGGGTACTTCGCTGCGAGGGACGCGAGAAACGCCATTAGACCCGTGTTAACAGACTGCTCGTCAAACAGCCTCTTCAACTCTTTCTTCGCGCAATTTATGTTTGGGCCTGCAGCAGATAAGAGATGATGTTGCTCATTTGCTGGAATCTCGAAGATTCCACCACCCCAGGGGTCCTTATTCGTCGCTTTTGGGTCGTATTTTGGAACCATTGTCGGATGTAGGCACTATATATATAGTTATATAATAGGGAAAAAGCTTGTAGCCATTCAGATGACTTTTCGAGGGGCTTATCCAAGCGTAGTGTTCTTATGGAGCCGGGGTCGAGTTTCTCTTCGTATGACCATACACTCGGAAGAGTAAGTACTCCCCCTTTGTGATTTTGGTTCCTGAGCCCCATTGATTCTGTTGGTTTGGGTGCTCGTTGTTGCCCGAAAGACTGAGTGCCTCGCTCCACTGGCGAAAATCCTCGCCGTCGGCATCGTGAATCACTATAGTAGAACCAAGCACGTTAATGATAGAAAGACTGAGAAACGGGGAGGAACGATACCACGCGTACAAGGGCGGAATGTAGAAGGATACAGAGGGTAGGAATATATCCCTAGTCGCGCGGGATAAACAAAGCGCAATCACACCAAAGCGAAATTGGCCTGGTCGAAAGTCGTAGGTTGAGCACGACCTGCGTGGGTGGGGAGATAATTGTAAAGGATAAGTGTCCTTGAACATAGGAGGATCTTCATGTACAACATATGTTTAGCTTCTTTGTCCCGATCATCCTAAGCACTGTGCATGCTGAAAGGGGAGCCACAGACTAGATGGATGTATCCATCGTTATATGCACGATTTAGGTACGATGTAGTATCAAAATGTCTCCCTTAGGAATTTGGAGTTAGCAAGAATTAGTCTCTACACAAAAGTTACCATACGTTTCTCCCGGAGACTAGTCTGGCAACCAGTATTCTTTTACAATTAGGGCTTGGGAAAAACCCGGACTGGAAATCCGAGGGCAAAGACCTCTGCTCCTGGGCTGGGTACGAAAGACCGCAATTGATTAAATGAAATATCATTTCAATGGGTATCCATGCTCTTGAAACTATACTTGTTTATGTTCAGCTTTAGCCAATCATGCCGGGATATTAACCCCAACCCATCCATATGTACCATTACTTCATGCTGACATCTCGTTCGATACAAAAGAAAAGACCATCTTTTCACCTCCGCTCCTCATCCACAACCGCCTGGGGGGTGAAGTTGCTGTCTGGCAACATATTCATGGCGTCCTCCTCTGCGTCCAACTTGTAATTGGTGGCCCAGAATCCAACACCGCCCAGGAAGGCAAGTATAGCAACTACCGTGTAGTTCCAAGTTAAGAGAGGATCTTTAGCCAGACCAATGAAAGCCTGGCCAATGGCAGACGAGAAGGCGTTCATCAGCAGCGACACAGCCTGCACGAGGGAGCGCATGTTCTTCGGGGCCTTTGTGTAGGCATACTCAAGGGAAGTTACGGATGCAAGAATCTCGGAAATACCACCCATGATGTAGGTTAGGGCCTGGATCCAAACGGAGATGTTGGTGTATTTCTGCTCCACTTCCAGACAGTAGTTGGCATTGCTACCGCAGGGTCCCAACTTGTAGATGTAGTGTTGGGTGACAGCGGCCACGACCATACTGAGGGCGGCCATAATGAAACCGGCCGTGATGCGCTTCAAAGGGGTGAAGTGGAAACCCATCTTGCGAATAGCAGGGTAAACGACATGATCGAAGATGGGAATGAAGATGATCAGTGAAATGGGGTTGAGGTTGTTGATGATGTCGTTGGGGACACCTCCAAGTTTCATGGTGGCCGCTTGAGATGTCAGGTTGTTCAGCATCTGGTTGTAGGCGAGCCCTAGAAATGGTCAGCATATGGAAAGGCAGAGAGAAATTGCCCACATACAGTAAAGGGGGTACCACAAGAAAACCCTGCAGGCCATCAGTCCTCGTCGAACTTCATCAACCCAGGCATCATCGAAGTCCATCCACGCGGGTTTGTTGGCCCCGAAGTGGCTGGGCTTGGCAGCGGCCCAAATATCCTTATCCGATTTCTGGAACCTAAAAGATCAATGTCAGTAGGTGCAACACTTGTTGACGGGATAGTAGCTTACCATCGCACGGGGTTCAGAGTCCAGTTGCCCTTCAGCGCCAAACCCCACACTTTGAGAGCTTTGCCGTAGATTGATCCACTGGGAGGAGTGAGGACGTAGTTCTTCTTGAACAAGAGCAATACCGCAGGGCATAAACAGAACATGGCGGTGGGTAGGAGGTAAGAGAGCCAGAAACCAACATATCGCTCGGCGTAGACCATTGCGACCTGACCTACAAAAGAACCGATGTTGATCATCATGTAGAAGTACATGTAGATACGAGAAATAGTGGCAGCTGGGTCAACGATGACACGCTCACCACTGGCAAGGGTCATGACATAGGGCCTGTCGTCGCGATATTGTTCAGCGATCAGGGGGGAGATGTTGGACTTGAAACCACCAGTTCCTATACCCATAATGACAAGACCGATGGAGAAGCAGGCAGCGGCTCCTTTTTGATTTTCAATAACCTGCGGAATGGCGGAAACGATGAGAATGACGTGTCCAACGAGCGCACAGGCAATGGCGGACATGATGGTGCGGTAACGACCCCAATACTGATCAGCAACTATGGCACCGAACAGGGGCATGATGTAGGACCAGAAAGAGTTGACTGTGCAAGTTAGACATGTTAGCAATGAGCCGAACCCTCGACACCAGGTCACTTACACAATGTCAATCCGGTAGAGGCCTGTTGGCCCATACCTAGAGCTCCAGGTGATTCATTGCTCCAGTCAGAGACACCTGCAACAAGGGCACCGGTGGTGGATTGATCGGGCAAAGGTCGCTGAATGAAGTTGACGACTAAGTCAGGTTAGCCATCTATCCTCCCTCTCTCAAAGAATGATAGTTCATACAAACAGCAGTGGTACCGTAGTACGAAAAACGCTCGCACAGTTCCACAAAGGCAACACTGTATGCTGCGACGGGTAGCTTGCCCGCAACACGGCGCAAAGTGGCCAGTTCCTCCTCTGTAGGAGAGGTTTTATCCAGAGCATAGTCACCTTCGATTGACCCTTCTCGCACGGGAGGGGCATTGTCGATAGTCAGATCATCGACTACTGGGACTTTCTCATTGGTACTGATGTCGTGGGAGATTGCCTTGGATTTGGCAATCTCAGTCACCTCGGCAGGATCGCTGGCATTCATAGTGGCGGTTCTGTAATCCAGAGATATGGGAAATGGAACACACAGCAGGAAAGAAAAAGGAAAAGAAACTTGCGGGAGGGTGAGGTGAAGCAATTATATAGCCCATGGCGTGATTAGCGTATCTATTTTAGTGTGTGCACGAGTTTGCTTCTTGTCCCATTCCAGAATCCCGGGGCATTGGCTGCATTGGGACGTGGCGGACGGCGGACATGACAAAAACCGTCAATAGCCGGAAAAGACCCTGCGTCTTAGTACTTCTACTAGATTAAGCGTGTTGAGGGATCCAATGGTAACCCTCGGCCTCATCCGGCCGTGATCACTTTCCCCGTCGATAAGCAAAGTCCCAGCTTTGTTGGAAAGCAAAAGATATCCCGGAAGGCTAACGGACGCCTGAACTTGGATCATCCAATCAATGAGCTGTTGTGGGCTTAGACCCCTGGTTTTGGTACCCACTCGTCACTTAGCGTCGGGTTAGTGTGTCTTGGCATGTCTTGGACCACGGTTTGGCCGAGTTTCTCCCCGCGTCGTGTGGCTTGGCTGGTAACTTCCATTGTAACCCTGCCTCCTTGGCCATCTCATCCACCCAATCACATCAAAGAATGGCTGATAACCGAGGTGAGATAACTGACCGGTGGACAAGGTTCCTTTGATATCTCACACATGGGGACCCAATCACAGGAAATTTAACCCGATGGCCAAAATGCGGGGCTCTGATTAGGCTCAAGGTGAAATTGCCTCTTAGGGAAATGAGACATTGTGTGATTGGCCCCATGTGATGTTGCCATCAATTATCCGACTCCTTTACAAACCGTTTCCGGACATTGGCCTCTTGGACCGTCGGTGTCCCGGAATCCTTTCAACCTCATGATCAAGCTGACCTGCTTTCTTGTTGGAAGCTATTGGCCTCCTCCCGGTTGGTCTCACGCGATTCGGCCCCCTGGTTGTCTTTCCCACTTCCTTCCACTTCCAACGCATCGATATTCTACGGATCATATCGCATGCCCCTTTACCATGTACTGGTTATATCCGCAGCTATCGCTCAAGTCTTGCGAATATCCAGTTTGCCATCTGTTAGAACCCACCTGTTTGATGGACGTTGACCACACGGCTGACCTCATCACATCCACCGTGTCCCTCGGTGGGTTGGCATGAAGTGGTATGGTGAAGTGATGCGCTCCAACTTCATGGGTGATTCCTGCACACTGGGAGATTCGTCAATCTCGCTGACTTCTTGCTCACTTTCACTTTGGCACGTTCATTGACCCCAGATTTAGAAGATTCACCGCTTTGCATAGGTCCACATTCCAGACCTTACCACTTGCTCCGCATTGACCACCATATCCTGGCAAATCCCAATGACCGTTTGATTGGACGATAACGTCACTTTTGGCCGTTCGAATGTCTGCTGAACTGCGAGGAGCCAAGTTTGCTTGTTTTGAGTCCATATCCATCCCATCGCGTGACTATGCCTGCATTGTTGCATTGTCAGATTATATTTAAATCCATGCAGAGTCGGGATACTAAGCTTGAAGGGAGCATGAACGAGGCTGTGTTCAGTGACTCCTGGAAAGCATCTAGCAATTTCCGAACGCCAACCACCTTTATGGTGTGTTTCCGAGGTTCCCCATTGCCAACGACAGCCCACATACATATATTGAGCAAAATCACTCCGAAATCCAAAGTCCTCCAGATGGGTATTGAAGTGGCAATCGCGCAATATCTCTCCCCACACTCCTTCACGACTCGAGCAACTGAACATACGCGCATCTCGACATGCTGGAGTCATATGTACAAAAGTACCTGACATTGCAAAGGCCTATGCAGAGTAGATCAGACCAAGCTGACCAGTGTAAAAGAAGGTAACTCCATAGACACTGTCCTCCAATTGCAATATACCTCAATCTATCAAGATCTACACATGATTCTTATTACTTTTCATATAATGTCTCCATCCGAGTCTCCGTCCCTTCATTCAAGCTCTCAACGATCGAGTCGATCAATACACCCGTCGATGCTAAACTCGACAGTGCAGCAATCACTCACCATGTCTGCAAAACCAGCGAGAAAGCTCCCCTGAAGAAACCCATCAGCTCCTAGCACAATTTCCTCTCCATCTTCGGGGCTCCTGTCTCGCCGACTGGCGGATCATCTCACATTGCCTCCTACAGGTTCCGTCACGAAATCCCGGGCAAAATGCTCTCAGCCAGCACAATGTACAAGGAGGCACTCTTGGAAGGAAGCCAGTTCGGTCCGATCAAGATCTGTCCCCGATCTAATCCAGTTCGCCTCGATGGCTCCTTCCAAATATTACTCGAATCTAAATTGGTCTTACCAAGATCATCAAGATCATGACCAGTCCCCTCGCAGATCATACCGACGCCACTAGCGTAGGGATTTCCTACCAGGAACCTGGAACCTTAGATCAATCTAACAGAAGTCTCTACCCGGTCGCACATTACTTCGCAGCGACGGTCCCTTCGAAAATTTCTTGCAGATCGGCCTAGCTTCCTTCTAAAAAGGACTGTGAGACCTTGTCTGTGCGGTGCAGGACAAGGTCTAGGTGAAATCGACTCGGGTTCCTTCAATATGTGCAAGTCCGTCTTTGCGATCTGAGGTGGAATCAGGGTAGGGACTTTGGTTAGGTCGGTTTGATTTTCCTCTAAGAAGCTTTCCTTGCTTGGGCTTGTCGATGCGACCTGGCCGGAATTTGGTTATATCCATCCGGATTCCTTCCGAGGAGTTTTGTACCGGCCTGCCAGTCCGACCAGGCTGGGATCTAGACCGCGATTTGGTTAAATTGACCTAGCTTGACGAATATATTGAGTCCAGTCCCAACCCAAACCATATAACTTTGGCACAAATGTCTTCTTGGAAAGCCAGATCAACCTGGTCCCGATCACACCGACAGGTCCTTTCGAAAATCCTTCTTTGGAAGGGACAATATCCGTCTGACCAAGGTCTGCGGCCTGATCCTGATTGTCTTCGATATCGGACTGACAGCTCTGGTAAGGGGAACTTCTTACGATGAAACTGGGTCGACCAGGCTCAGGTCAACCCCGGTGCCTTGATTTCAAACCTATTAGTCCGACAGGCACTCACACTTCTGAGGAGGAAGTTAGATCAATATAATCAAGATCTGGAGCCTTATGTGATTAAACCTCAGCTTATACGAACAGACCTAACAAGGAAAGCTCGATGGATATGATACTGATCTTGGTCCTGATTCCTACATGTATGTACCTAGGTCGCACCGAGAAGCCTTCTCAAACCTCTTAGAAGGAACCCCGATCGGTGTGACCAATATCCCATCCCTGATTCCAACCAAGATTGCGCTGAAGGGCGGTTGCATTTCTCAGAAGGAACATGATCAATCCAAGAAAAGACGACTAGGCCAAGGCCGATCTTACCCCAGATCGCACCGACGATCCTAGTATGGAGTCTTGATAAAAGGAAGCTATATCAGTCTGATCCTTACCCTGAGTCCACCCCGATTGCGCCGACCACATTTGGATGCCGCGAAAGAAACTCTGATCGGTCGCACCAAAGATTGCACGGACTGGCCCCTGGCAAGGGCATCCTCTTAGAAATTCAGAAGGATCCGACCTCCCTCCGATTTACATCACTCACCCCCCCGAACACGGACGGATCCACACAATGAGAATTGGATGGAAACCAGATAGATCTGCCAAAACTCCCGGTTTCCTCATCCATCAGCCGGACGGAGAAAGGACATATACGTCCAGACCTAGGAATACCGACATTCAGTCCACTGACGGATCATGGACCCACTGGTCTATTCCATGTGGAATCGTTTCCAATGAATGCTGTTGTCGGGTTACGTCCTTGGCAAATCAACCAGACACAGAAGGAAAGACGCAACGTCCACTGGGCTCTGGCCTGTGGCGTTCCTTCGGTTGATATCACGACTTCAACTTCTGCCAAAATGGGTCAGCGAAATTACCTACATATACCTATGAGCAATGATAATGCCTGCCTTCGAGCTTGTTAATGAGACATACCACCCATAACCTACATGTACCTGTGACTTCTAAGATCGTCTTCGAGAGTCCCCTCGGTGAGATTCATGGCTACATATACCCGACCCAAATCTACTGAGTTGATTTCATGGTCCTCTTGTCTTCATATATCCCTAGCAGCTGTGCGCGGATATATGTGGTCACGCGGACCTTATGTGCGGTTTTACTGTAAGAGATCGACTTTCTGTGGTTCCGTGAGCAGCTCATAATAAGCTAGGGAGTCCGTGGGTTGAGTACTAAACAAAGCAAGGTGGAAGTTCCCGTCAACCCTAAATATAATCGCAAATCTCAAGCATCACCAGGCAATTCAGCGCTTCGACCCTTTTTCGATCGACGATTTTTTGTCGGTTCAGAGGCCCAGATTATTAATTCCTCAATGCATGGGGAATCAATCAGCTGTTCAACGTCATCAACGTAGTGACCCACTGCCTTGATAATGCCCATATCAAGTTCATCTACTTTGACTGGGAGAAGGCGAAAAAGTTCAAGCAGCTCAGCGGGTGCCCTTTGCCGCACACATTTCCATTGCATCAGTGTGTCAATTGAATCACGGATGTCACTCCGGGTTAATTCGCGTGCGAATACGTGATCAACTCGCCTTAGCCGCGAGAATCCTTTCAGACGTTGTGGCAAGCAAAGAAGTTGGTAACGGTCAAAAGGGGATTGCATGAGAACTATGTATTCAATGTATTGCAGGGCAATCTGATTGTCATCGGCGCTGAAGGCTGCTGTATCTTGCCAATTTTTCAGATGGCTTGGCACCATGGCAAAAGTCTTAAGTTGAAAAAACAACGGCTTGCCTAACAAGCTAAGTCGTTTACATGTCTCTGTCACGAATTTCCAGCCCTTGAGATGGGGGACTTGGCTTTTATTGATATCTTTCCAATGCAATGGCCCTTTATACATGGAGGGACGTGTGAACCAGTGCTCGACAGTCCACTCTTCGTGCAGCAGCTTTTGCAA